GGGGCAAAAGGAATTTGCTCGGCGCGGGGCTTGCCGCCGGCAGCCCTGCTGCTGGGAAGAGGAAAGCGCGTGAGAGCTTCAAAGAGCCTGCTGGGAGCAGATGGTGGGATTTTTGGCCCGAATCCGGTGTCTCTGGGGCTCTGGCTGCAGGGACCTCTGCGCATCCCACAGGTGGGTGAGGAGGTGGTCGCTGCCTGGTGCTGCTGCACCCTGGGGTTTTTGGGACGATGCTAAACCTGCCGAATAATTTTGAAGGTGAGTCATCCCGGACACGCAGCTGACAAAAACCAGGCGTGTGGGCTCCCAGGCTGCTGGCTTGCTGCCTTCCCTGAGGTCGTCTCCGCTGCTGGGACGAGGACATGGCACCATGGGATTTAATGCAAGAGGGAAAACAGAGCTCTCATTCTTGCCTATGTGCCTGCCGGCGCTGGCTCCTGCGGGCCTCATGCCAGCAGCAGCCTCCCTCCCCACGGTCCGGGATTGATGAAGAGCAAGGGGGGCTTGTGCAGAGAGGTCTTCAGTGGTGTGACGGAGGAGGGGACATCGCTGGAGGCTCTGAGATGTGGTTTTGGAGGCCCCGTGAACCAGCATGGCTCTGGGAACAAGGGCTTCGGCAGCCCTTCCCCATATCCAGCAAGTCGCAGCAGGCTTTCAGGACAGGCCCATGCGAAAGCACTGCAGGAGGGAGAGAGAAAAAGTCACGAAGACGTGGTCTGAATCCATCACAGAGTCTCTTCGGAAAGCTCCTGGTTGATAAAAACCTTTTGATATTTCTAGGTAGGACTCCAGGGCTGGTGTTCACAGCCTGCCACCGACGCCTAGCGTTGGGCCGGCGGCAGCCTGGGGCTGCTCGGCTGCAAAGCGGGCAGCAAAGCGGGCGCTGCCACGCTGTGCCCACCCCTGGGTACCCGCTCGGACACGCAAAACGGAAGAGGGGTGAAGTCTCCTGCTCCCTTCATCCCACACCCTCGTGGCCCCGGCTGCCTGGGTCTGCAGAGCGTGGCCTGACGGGGCAGTTTGGGGACCGCAACGCATCCCTGCTGGGAAGGGATGGAGCCCAGCCGCTCGTCTGCTGGGCAAAACCTGCAGAGCTGCTGCCTGGCTGTGCCACCCTCTGCCTCATGGTAGTACTCGCTGCCTGGCGATGCCATGCGCTGCTTCCCAGTGCCGTCCCTGCCTGGTAAAGACGTGGCTGACTGCTAGTGCCATCCCTTGCCTCCTCACAGTGCCATCCGCTGCCTCGCAGTGCCATCCGCTGCCTGCTGGTGCCATCACTGCCTGGCAGCCTGGAGGAGGTGGAGGCAAGCCAGCGAGACGGACATGCACAATCCTCGCCCGCTGCAGAGCTGTCTCAAGGCAAGCCCGTGAAAGTCTCGGCCTGCAGGGTAAGGAAGAGAGCGGACTGCGCTGTCAGGATGGAAAACTGCTGGTGGCAGAGATGCTACACGAGCCGCATAAGACCTGCAAAAGGAACTCATTAACCCAGGACTGCTTAATATGCTGGAGGCTTGTGCGCAGCCCTGGAGCTGCAGTAGGATGCCGTGCCAGGTTTTGCCCGCTCAGCCCCTCAGCGCAGACGGAGGCACGGGGATGCGCACCAAAACCACCGCCAGCCTTCTCGCTCCCGGGCCGGGCGAGCTGACACCCAGCGCTGCGGGGCCAGGGGGCTGCGACACAGTGGGACGATGCTTTGGTGCCCGTGTGCGTGATGGCATCCCAGTTCCCTTTTGCACCCTCAGGCTCAGAATGACACTGCCCCACTCCAGGGGCCACAGGGACCTGGTTGGCCTGGTCAGTAACAGCAACAGGTCACTCTTCCAGGTCTTCTCCGCTCTCAGGGTTTTCCACCCCACAGGTGTTATGGTGCTTGGCTTCACAAGCTCAACCCATAGCAGAACTTGGGTGCAGACCTCACCTTGGGGTGTTTTACGGCACCCCAAGCATTCAGATGCAAAGAGGCACAGCCCAGCTGTCCTCTGCTGCACGGTGTGGGTGTTGCCTGAAACCACATCTCTCAACTTTTTTTTTTTTTTTTTGTCTCAGGTCCGGGATAAGAAACTTCTCAATGACTTAAACGGAGCAGTCGAAGATGCCAAGACAGCCCGGCTTTTTAACATCACCAGCTCAGCCCTTGCCACCTTCTGTATCATCCTTATCTTCATCTTCCTGCGATACCCCCTCACTGACTACTAGAATGAGGCCAACAGCAGCGGCCGCCGCCAAGATGCCTCCATGCCAGAAGTGTCTGCAGTTGTTTCTTGTAGCAAGGACACAAAAAAAAAAAAACCCAACACTCCTCCTTGATTGCAAAAAAAAAAAAAGCCAATTAAATACATAAATAAAAATTAAATGAGTTGATCAGCCTAGCTGAGCATACCCTTCCTGCCCCCAAACAGTTTGTGAACTGCTGTAGGAAAGGGTCTCACTCTTACACATTTACAGGGAGAAAAATAGGCCAGGAAATATTCATTTTACGGCCAACAAGCTGTGTGACAAGAGTGTGCAAAGCCAAAAGCAACGCACGCCTGGTGGCAAAAAGCTAAGCTCTGGGAGCAGCAGGGTTCTGCTGAGCAGGAGGTGTGTGCAGTGATGGATGGTGACCACTGCAGGGTGGCTCACAACATATCAGACACATTCAAATGGCCCCACCACCCCATAACACGTGGGGTTTCTTTTCCTTTTCCTCTGTTGAGTTTCACCCACTGGTTCAAAGAACTCCCAGCCCCTGGAGAGCTGAGGGTGTTAGGAAGTCCACGCTAGGGAGCCCCAAAGCCTCCAGAGAAACCCCAAAGTATCACAGGGCAGGTTTCTCCTCAGGATCTGCTGGCAATGCTGAGAAGGAAGGCACCTTCTGGAGAACTCAACCAAGCTCCCTAAACCGAGTGTTACTGTATTTCTGTTAACAGTCAATAAAGATACCTCTGATATCTGATGCTGCTGGGTTAATTCCTTCCTCACGAGGGCTGGACTCCTGGTCCCTACAGGCTGGCAAGACAAAACGCGAATGTTGCCAGCGGCTGCTTGGGAGAGATTTAAAGCAGGAGTGAGGGATGCTGCTGTGGGTCAGGGTTTCACGCAGCCATAAAAGAGGGCACAGATCGAGATTTAAGGGCAGACACCTCAACGACTCCCGTGGTGGTCGATCAATCACAAGCAAGTAAACGCAGCTGAGCGGGCAGGTCCCCCCTCCCCTGCTCGGACCAACGTTGAAGAGAAACATACATCGCTGCAGTCTGAACGGGCTGCTACTGCAGCACTTCCAAGGCCATCACTGAGAGCCAGATTTCGGAGATGCTGTGCGTTTGCTGCTGAATGAGGCAGGAGCTCAGAGCCCTTCCCGATAGCTGCCTGAGGCTGCCTGTTGTGCTGCAAATCAATACGCCGTGACTTGAAAACACCACGAATGAATGGCAAGACCAGGACTAAAAAGGGAGACCAGTCTTTGCAAATCAGCCATGGAGCCACGAGGAGGCAACAGCATCCACCTTTGCGCCCACGACGAAAGCGAAGTTGCAGTAAGAGATGGGAAGTGGAGACAGACCGTCGTGGGACACCTCGTCCTCTGCTGAGTGTGTGGTTAAATCAACGTGCTGTCTCTGGGCTGTGCTCGGTGAGGGCTGTGCCGTAGTGAGCCACGGGACAGACCATGAGGATGCCTCCCTGAAAGCCTCATGAGATGTCACCTCCTTCCTGCCCAGGTTTCCATGCCTTAACTGCAGCCTGGACTTCATTTACAGGAGTAGCTACGGGCAGAAGGACCTGCAGTCCTACCCGCTCCCCACTTGCTGGAGGGCATTTCCACACCAGACCAGATCAGGAGTCTGTTTTGTGCTAAGTTTCTGCCAGCAGTGCAGTACATGGTGCCCTGGGAAGTATCTCGGTCGTGAACTGCTCTATGATCACTCGTCCAGAGGTCAAGACTCTTCCCAACCTCTCCTGGTTACTTCTTGCTCCCTTCCCTGAAGCAAGATCTGAAGCATCATAGCCACTGACATTTCCATCCTGACATATCTAGGGGCTGTATCCACTCCTCATCCCTGGCAGAGGAAGGCGGTGGCCTGTTGCGACGGCAATGCTGTCAAAGAGGGAGAAGCCAAAACGACTCGTGTTGCAGCCACCCTGAGCTGGCACCTAATAATTGGAGAAAATTAAAGCCCGCTGAGATGGTGCTAGTTTAGGCAAGAGCTGGACTAGTCACCCCAAAATCCTCCAAGGCTAGGAGGAGTGCAGAGGTGAGGTTGCATCACCTTTTCCCTCCCCCTGCACCTGCACTGAGCTCACATTGGCTATTCCCAAGGTCTCAGCTCGATATCCTTCACCATCTGGGTGCCCATCATACCTCTCAAGCTTTGCAGCCCGCACACAAGCCCGGCAGGGTGGGCTCGGGGGATAACTCACATGGGGTGACCTCTCTTGCAGTGCCAGGGGCTCAAAGCCATAGGTCTAGGTCACTGTGGGATCAACGTGCCTGGCACCTCTTGCACTAACAAGTGCCTTTCTGTCTATCAGCTGGGACTCCTTGGAGCCATGTTGCAAGTGCTTTTGCACTCGGAGAAGCCTCTGACTCTGCAAAAATCCTGCGGGGACAGTGCCACCATCCCCATCTCCCATGCCATGAAGGAGAGGGCTGCCCTGCTTGGCATGCAAGCACAGGGCTGCTCTGATAAAGGCAGAGCTGACATAAAATTGGAAGTGACCCAAAGCCAGCCTTTCCTACATTTAACAAGTGTGACAAATGAGTTATCATCATCCCTTCCCCTGACAGACTGTCTTATCTGCAGGAAAATGGATGCTGGTTTAATGAACCAGGGGGAATATTGGACTGACTCCGCAGCATTTTTGCATGGATAAACCTTCAGGGGTGGAGAGGGTGGGCTGTTGTAAGTAACCGTCATATTTACTGTTTGTTGCCCATGTTGTAGCAGGTGTGAATGCTGCAATCGCTGAGCTGCAGCAGGTCAGAGGTCCACCCAAACCTGCCTCGAACGAGAACAGGGCAGCAGAGGAGGAGGCAGTAGCCCCGTGGCTGGAGGATGGCATGCTTGACCCCAGGCAGATGCTCGGCTCCACCACAGCCCTGGCCCCTGCTCCACCTGCAGCCCTGGGCTGGGAGCAGCAAAGCCCCTGCACCCACCCCTCCTCTCTCCTAGTGCCCTCCCATTCTTTTTAATGTGGCCCCTCCAAACTCATGGCAGTGGGAAAGAACCCCCCAAATCGGGAAAAAGGGGGAAAATAGATTTCCGAGCTTGCTTAGGAAAAATAAAAAAAGTTGTTTTTCTCATGCAGAGGTCTTCCAAGCGCAGCAGCATCAAGGTGCTTAGCATTCATTTCACCTTGCCGCTGTCGGGGAACCCCAAATTGAGATGGCAAAGCTGCAGCCCCGTATACTGGCAAGCAGGTACATCCCAGATTGCACCAACTGTGCTGTGAAGTGAAAGAAAGAAGTGTTTTTTCATTTTGAGTGAACAAGCAGCCAAATCCGACAGGTCCTTTAATTGCTTTTTTCTTTTTGTTTTTAATTTTGCGAGAAAATTCTGGAAGTTCAGCTTTTGCCAAGGCTGACACCCGACGCAGCAGAAGGCAGGCTTTCGAGGGTTGCTTCTCTGCCTTTTCACTTCTGCCACTCACGATGTCGCGCCACACTCTCCAAATCGCACCTTTTTTTGGCTGCAAAGCCGCAGCTGCTGTTGCGCTCAGCGGCGGGAAGGAAAACTGAGAGGAGGGGGTGGAAGAGGGGAGCAGCCGAACGCTGCTCAAGAAGCATCATTTGAGACAGGGAAGAACTGATGGTCACGATGCCGTGTAGAGATTTAATTGTATTCCTTCAGGAAGCCGAGCTTGACAGCTTGACGAGGATTTCTTTTTGCTTTTTGTTTAGCTCGAGGAGAGAAATGGGGAAGGGGGTGGGGGGGGGAGTCATTGTTCACTTTTAGTTGACATTGTGAAATTGTGCCTAAAATACTGCTGCCGGTTTTCGGCATGCGAAAGGCGTTCGAGGTGAGCGCGGGGAAAGGCCGCGGATGCTGGCAAGGGGCATGCT